AGAACACATATCACTAGGGATATGTGTTTCCCGCCTAGGGGAACACATATCACTAAAGATCTGTGTTTCCCAGGTAGGGGAACAAATATTACTAGGAATACGTGTCTCCCAGGTGGGGGGAACACATATCACTAGGGATATGGTTTCCCAGGTAGGGCAACACAAAGCACCAGGGATACGTGTTTCCCAGGTGGGGGAACACATATCACTAGGGATACGTGTTTCCCAGGTAGGGAAACATATATCACTAAAGATACGTGTTTCCCAGGTAGGAGAAGAAATATTACTAGGGAAACGTGTTTCCCAGGTTGGGGGAACACATATCACTAGGGATATGTGTTTTCTAGGTAGAGGAACAAATATTACTAGGGGTATGTGTTTCCCAGGTTGGGGGAACACATTTCACTAGGGATATGTGTTTCCCTGGTAGGGGAACATATATCACTAGGGATATGTGTTTCCCAGGTGGAGGAAAACATATCACTAGCGATATGTGTTTCCCAGGTGGGGGAACACATATCACTAGGGATATGTGTTTCCCAGTTAGGGGAAGAAATATTACTAGGGATACGTGTTTCCCAGGTTGGGGGAACACATATCACTAGGGATATGTGTTTCCGGGGTAGGGGAACATATATCACTATGGATATGTGCTTCCCAGGTAGGGGAACAGATATCACTAAAGATCTGTGTTTCCCAGGTGGGGTAACACATATGAGTAGGGATATGTGTTTCCCAGGTGAGGGAACACATTACACTAGGGATATGGTTTCCCAGGTAGGGCAACACAAAGCACCAGGGATACGTGTTTCCCAGGTGGGGGAACACATATAACTAGGGATACGTGTTTCCCAGGTAGGGAAACATATATCACTAGAGATACGTGTTTCCCAGGTAGGAGAACACACATGACTAGGGATATGTGTCTCCCGGGTAGGGGAACATATATCACAAGGGATATGTCTTTCCCAGTTGGGGGAACACATATCACTCAGAAAATGTGTTTCTTAGGTAGGGGAACACAACGCACTAGGGATATGTGTTTCCTAGGGAGGGGAACATATATCACTGGGGATATGTGTTTCCCAGGTAGGGGAACATACATCACTAGGAATATGTGTTTCCCAGGTAGGGGAACACATATCACCAGGGATATGTGTTTCCCAGGTGGGGGAAGATATATCACTAGAGATACGTGTTTCCCAGCTGGGGGAACACATATCATTACGGATATGTGTTTCCCAGGTGGGGGAACATATATCACTAGGGATATGTGTTTCCCAGGTGGATGAACACATATCGCTAGGATTACCTGTTTCCCAGGTGGGGGAACACATATCACTAGGGATGTGTGTTTCCCAGTTAGGGCAACATGTATCAGTAGGGATACGTGTTTCCCAGGTGGGGGAATACATATCACTAGGGATACGTGTTTTCCAGGTTGGGAGAACACATATCACTAGGGATATGTGTTTCCCGCCTAGGGGAACACATATCACTAAAGATCTGTGTTTCCCAGGTAGGGGAACAATTATTACTAGGAGTACGTGTCTCCCAGGTTGGGGGAACACATATCACTAGGGATATGGTTTCCCAGGTAGGGCAACACAAAGCACCAGGGATACGTGTTTCCCAGGTGGGGGAACACATATCACTAGGGATACGTGTTTCCTAGGTAGGGAAACATATATCACTAAGGATACGTGTTTCCCAGGTAGGAGAACACACATGACTAGGGATATGTGTTTCTCAGGTAGGGGAACATATATCACTAGGGATATGTCTTTCCCAGTTGGGGGAACACATATCACTCAGAAAATGTGTTTCTTAGGTAGGGGAACACAACGCACTAGGGATATGTGTTTCCTAGGTAGGGGAACACATATGACTAGGGATATGTGTTTCCCAGGGAGGGGAACACATATCTCTAGGGATATGTGTTTCCCAGTTAGGGCAACATGTATTAGTAGGGATACGTGTTTCCCAGGTGGGGGAACACATATCACTAGGGATATGTGTTTCCCGGCTAGGGAACACATATCACTAGGGATATGTGTTTCCTAGGTAGGGGAACAAATATTACTAGGAATACGTGTCTCCCAGGTTGGGGGAACACATATCACTAGGGATATGTGTTTTCCGGTTAGGGAAACATATATCACTAGGGATATGTGTTTTCAAGGTAGGGGAACATATATCAGTAGGGATATGTCTTTCCTAGGTGGGGGAACACATATCCCTCGGAAAATGTGTTTCTCAGGTTGGGGAACACAAAGCTCTAGAGATATGTGTTTCGTAGGTAGGGGAACACATATGACTAGGGATATGTGTTTCCTAGGGAGGGGAACATATATCACTGGGGATATGTGTTTCCCAGGAAGGGGAACATATATCACTAGGAATATGTTTCTTAGGTAGTAGAACACGTATCACTAGAGATATGTGTTTCCCAGGTAGGGGAACATATTTCACTAGGGTGATGTGTTTCCAAAGTAGGGGAACGCATATCACTAGGGATATGTGTTTTCCATGTGGGGAACATATATCACTAGGGATACGCGGGGCAAATAAGTGGCTGAAACATTAGATATCAACCTTTCGTAAGGCAAAAAGAAACAGGAGTTTATTGAACAAAGATACCGTACGATGAGAACTATCATGTTCTAGTTGACAAAATATTTTGCGTCCCCTTCATATAAAAAAAACAAAGAAACCAACACGCGATTTATATGAAGCCCAAGACAGTACACTTTATTGGTAAGAGATACATTAAGAATACATCAGATGTATCATTAAAAAAATCAAAATGAAAATACGAGAACACCAAAGCCGTACACGTAAACCCCGAAAAACCAATTTTGGCAAAAATGGGGACCGTGTATCCCCAACCAGTGCTATGGTGCTGCCTTTGGGGTTTTAAGGCCTGCTAGCTTATATAAATACGAGAAAACATTAAACTTTAAGTTAACAGATATAACCTCGTAGCTTAGCTGGGTTAAAAGACCGAAAAAAACTCTTTTGCGCGCTGAGTTGTCGAGTCGGCAAGGTTAACCCCAGAATAGCACGCGCGACTTAATCATCTCACTACTGTCGCCGTTTCAAAGAGCGCAAGCAATGATATCAAAGCGCTTTATGAGCGCATTAACCTGAATGTCTGTTTTTGTGCCTGCAGAACTGAATTAAATTAATATATTCATTGAACCAATGTAAAGGTTTGAAAGCTAGAAAGCAGATAGCCACTATAACGTTTTATTTTTGTTATTTTTTGTTCAGGCAAATTCAGATCAGCCGAAAAATTTCCTGGAACCTCTAAAAGTCTTCATGCATTATAAGGTTATTGCTGGTTATGTTACATGTTAAGCTATGGAATCAGCGAATTCAGTGGCATTAATTAAGAAGAACTCAGAAGTTCCAAGTTACGCTGTTACGTTCGTAGCCGAATTGATAAATTCTACATCTCTCTGAAATATCTTAGCTTTCTCACTTTACATCATGGTTCTCATACTATTTGGTACATATTGACCTTATTCTATGTTCATCTAGCACGAAACCAATACTGAATGCTAAGTACAAATAATCTACGGATTTTTATTTTTCCTTTTGCTCTAACAGCCTTTTAAGAATGCCAAACCCAATTCATGAACATCTATTTACTATCTTGTTTTCTAGTTCGTAAAATCCTAAAGAATTGTTGTTACTACGAGGAAGTAGTGCTGAAAAAGTCTTATTTCCAAGGTGACACCATAGGGTTTACTCAACAAACTCTGAGGTATCAAACACAATTTCTTTATTTTCATAAATGCTTTGGAAGAGTTCACTTCGTATACAGACCGCGCGTTAAACCGTTATGATTCATCGACCAGGAATGATGTTACTACTTCTTCCCGCAAAACAAAGGCCCAAGTTCAAACTTGTTGCTGTTTAGAACCGATGGCCGGTCTACAAAGTAAAATATACGAGATAAAAGCTTGGTTGAATAATAATTTTCGAGTTTAAACCTTATAGAATTGGGTGAATCCGTTTTCTTCAACGATCAGTGTTTGCTGGCGAAACTGCAAGGGAGATCGGTGCGACAAGCAGCCTGCCTTACTTAAATATTATAGAGTCTATCGTAGTTTAAAGTTCATCAAAGCTTGGTTTCACGTAGTGTGGTAGAATCGTGCAAGTACATCCACAATCTTCCTCCAATACGAAATATGGACTCTTAAGTCGACTCTTTTCCTCATGGTTGCTGTTGGGACAAAACAGTTTGGAATCACATTTTTTTTTCAACTTTTAAATAAGAATCTCCCAGGTTTACTTTACTATAGCTGGAGAGTATTTTCGTGGTGTATTTTGTTTTAGTAAAATCGAACCAGTGTTCTATTATGAATGCTGCGCTATGATTGGTTGAGCTACTACTAGGCTATATGTTAAAGCTCACTAGTGACGAAAAGCGCCGGCTTTGAAAACAAAAACAATGGCGGCTGAATCGCGTTTTGCAAGCAAAAGATGTTTTGTCTCGATATTTTTCTGCAGCTAGTTGGATTTTACTAAAACAATTATTCCTATCGCCCCCATGGCCTCTGAGTCAATAGTTTATTCGGCCTTCGGCGTCATGGGTTATTGACTCAGAGCCCATTCGGGCTGGAGGAATAATTGTTAAATATCGTTAATTCTATTATAGGGGCAGGTGCCTTCAATGACATTTCTAGTTTCAGCTCTAGGTCTTTACCTTTAATCTTATGAAAATGACTCGTTCTCAGCGTTCTCTTTTGACTCTTTTGGTCAGGAAATGGTCACGTGAGACTATTACGGCATCTGAGCGAGAAAAGAAGCGACTGGAGATCGAGTCAGCAATTGAAGAAGGAAAACTAGGTGCTCACCAGGTGAAGACGCCGCCCATTTACTGAGCTGTGGGGTTTCTTCGTCTAAGTACAAGAACATAAGCATCATTATCATCATCGTCGTCGTCGTCGTCGTCAGCATCATTGACATTGTTAGCGTCATCAACTAAATCGTCAGCATCCGTCATTGTCAGCGTCACTATCATCATCATCATCATCATCATCGTCATCATCATCATCATCGTTAGTTACATCATCAGCATCATCGTCAACGTCATGAACATAATCGTCAGCATTCGGCAAGTCATCATCATCGTGATCATCAACATTACTATAGTTATCATCGTCGTCAGAGTCATCGTCATTGTTAGCGTCATCATCTTCATCTTCATCATCCTCTTTCTCAGCGCACCAGCATCATCAGCATCATCATTATTGTCGTCCTCGTCATCATTAACGTCATAGGCAGCACATCGTCAATGCCACATCAGGCTGCTTAGCTTGTCCATGTTCACGGCTCCTAAAATCTCTCAAGACCAAGTCAAGACCACACGTTTAACTGAACTCATTATCAAGCTTACTAGCCCCCACCCACTCCTTCATTGAGTCCTCAAGTTTAATCAGCTATAAAAACAAAACAGCAAAGACAAAAGCTATATTGCGTCTCCAGATATTGCCGATAGTGAGGTCGTGTTTATATAGTATGATTGCACCATAGTTGGAAATTTGATACAATTGTTTAAAACTTCAAAATAAAAATGCAGGTCAATAGGGATAAATCTTGAAAATAATGACTTGCTCGCGAAAGAACAAAGAGAAAAAAAGGTCAAAAAAGTAAATAAATTTAAAGAATGTAACAAAAATGAACTTAATTTAAAATAATAGTAAATAATAAATAAACAAATAAATTTAAAGAATGTAAAAAAATGAACTAACTTTAAAATAATACTTAATAGAGTTAATAAAATATATTCAAATAATAATAATAATGATCGTAAATAATGATTGTAATAGGAAAGGGAAAGCATTAATACTTCTAGCTGAATTTTTGAAACGTAACTGCTTAGTTACGTTGTCAAAAATCAGTCTAGCTTTTTTGTTGTTGCAGCTGCTTGTTAAATCCTTTTCTATTATTATTATCATTATCGTGATCATTATTACTATCCCTATTTTTATTAATTTGAATTTATATTTAGTTTCATTGTTACAGGACATTTCATTATTCATTATTTTATCACTATTTATTCATTTGTTTTTTCTTTATTTTTCGTTTATTTATATGTCATTTTAAATTCATTTCTGCTCCATTTTCCAACATTTATTTCCTCTTTTGACCTTTTTCGTTTCTCTACTTTTGTGATTCCAATCAGTCTACCCGCATTTTAATTAAGCTGTTGTCTTTGCTGTTGTGTCAATTAAAGTTGTATCGTTTTAGTTAAAATTACTGCATTTGAACGCCGTATAAATTACTAACGTTTCAATGGATAATTTCCCCTGTTGAATAAAGACATGGCATCTCCATCATCGTCGTTGTTTGACATCATCATTACCATTATCGTGGTCGTCCTTATCATCACCATTGCAATCAACAAGATAATTAGCGATTATTGGACGAGATTTTAGTGATATCCGGAATAATCAAGGTCGAGGTAAGTGTTATCAGCCGAGCCGCAGGCTCGGCTGATAACACTTACCGAGACCTTGATTATTTGGAATATTAGACAACCGAATTTCATAATTGTTTTATTATACATTTTTTGAAGAGAATAACGACAATCATACCCGACGAAAGGAACCTGAATTGATATTGTTCGTGGAAATCATACACTGCGCTCGCAACCTACAGATAAGTCAGTTATCTACAAGCAGATAACTAACCTATCTGTAGGTTGCGCTGATTTCCAAAATTAGCTGTAGGCTCCTAGCCAATGAGAGGACAGGTAATGAGTACAATGTACAATAATCATCATAATCGATGCAATAGGGTCAGCCATTTACCTAACCCTCTCCTCACTGACGTTGCCTCGTCAGCCTGCCCCTAAATCTCGCTAGAAAAAAAAATAAGGCGGCATTTCGGACAGAATAAATGTTTAGCGAAGCACTTTTACTACTTGATTATTGCAGTTTTAGCATATGAGTATTCCTGCTAATTCCATACAAAACTTATAAAATTTCCGCACGGTTTGGATCCCAGCCTAATTTCTTTAAGTCTATTCTTTGCAAATTAGATGGAGAAAGATTGTACTTGCCTTTGTCGAGTTAAGCAAGCCTCCTTTCCATAATTTTAGAGCCACTCACTGCAGGCCAGACGAGGTGCGACATCTGAAATCTTCTGGATCTGTATAAAATAGATCTCAAGAACAAGATATTTAGCTTATCAAAGGGATGTTTGTTACTCAGCAACTAACAGCCTATTACATATTTCGCTCTTCTTAGTTAAGTAGGCCTAGGTTTGAATCCCACTAACACCTTGTATTTGCTTGAAGTAACGTCAAAGTTAAGCAAAGTTCATGGATTAGAAGTCCATTGAAGGAGAAGTGTTTAGGGACCTTCAAATGAAAGTTACGATTTGTCTCTAGGGAATTCAATTAACTGCCTGACATACAGCCAGCATAGACTCCTCTTGTTGAGGGTCCTTGTTGTCTATTTTGCAATATGCAGTTTTAGTAGACTTAGTTGTGACTTAGTTCACAACTGGAGAAAATGCACATAGTGAGTTCTTTTATCGTCAGTTTTCTTTCCTGGTATTTTTTGGGGGAAAGGTTGGGTTGGACGTGCTCGTATTTTTTCTTCTGTACTTACCTACGATCTGCCAGGTGGATCGTTCCAATCACGTTCTATGTAATAGTTAAAGAGACACTTCAGGGTTGCTTTTCCGCTCGCTGACGTCTATCAGCAGTTTTCTGACCTAAATGCAAAGTTTCTCAAGAACATCGATTAAGGCTGATCCAAACAAAAGTTTTCCATTGTTTTTTAAAAATTCATTCTGCCACTAATTCCTTTTAATCCTTGGATGTTCCTCCTTTGAGTTTTGGTCAACCTAAGTGGTAGCGAAACCGCTGTTTCGGATATAACCTCTTAGCATGGATTTGCATTCCATTTAAACTTGACAATTTTTAATTATCTTGATAGAGGTTTGAATACGATGAATATTAGAGTCAAACTCATGTCTTGAAATGGTAATCAAAGGCTTCATTTCCTTTCAGAAGGCTTGGGTAAAATCATCCGAGGATAAGTGCATCCGAGGATAAGTGTGTTACCTTTTCAGTACTTACCTCGGATCTGGTCGCTAGGGTCACCTGTCCCAATGCCAATAGGCCGGCTACGACTGCGGGTTGGAAACAACTCCTGGAATTGCACAGACCTGAACAAAAAGCGTCTTCAAACAGATTATAAAAGCAACAGTTTTAACAGGGCAGTTGAAAAGGAATTTCTAAGTATGCTGCTTCTCTCAGATATAATGGCGTTTGAATCTCATTAACGTTTCATATCGATTTGCCGGTTACTGATGAACCAAAAAAACATTGTTCATGGGTTGGAATCCCACTGGAAAAGAGAATTTACCTACAAAGTTACGATTTTTGCTCCAGTAAGAGCACATTTGCCTACAAAACTCTTTTGGTAAATGACCCTGTCATTTTGTGGGTATGCTTGTTTAACCTCTTGAAGGCGAAGGGTTTCCTATATTCTTGTACTTACAGGTTGCACGGGCCATATCACTGCTAGACGTCTCCGACCTAAATTAAATATTTCTTGAAAGCAGAATCAATAAATAACATCAAAACACTGGCTTTGGTGCACACTTGGAAACCAATCGCACACTCCATTCCCTACTGTCACCTATCATCAAACAGATTCGAATTCAGCCGAACATCATTTGGAATTTCAAGTCTTGAAAATTGCATTCTTTGGTACACTAGGAGCACCAGTAAATAAAGAAATCTCGTAGGTTTGAATCCTACTAGGGTGTGAACTAATAAGTTTTAGTATCATCTGAGGATGTATCAGCACAATCAAATTTAAAGTACTCACCTTCCGTTTCACTCTTTCTTGCCTCTTAGACGCTGCTGTCGAACGCTAACTTCATGCACTAAATCTGAAACCCAAAGAGATAATCTAACAGTTAGAGCATAAACAGATATGTCTTACCTTTAGAACTTTGACCTGTTTTCCAGTCGTAATCAGCATCGACGTGCGTTTCTTCAGGAACGCAGCCAGAGAAAAACTTCCTAATGAGCTTCTAGAGAGTATACGTTACATGCATTCTGTTTTGCTGTGGTCGGTCTTCACAGGGCGCGCCCCAAAACACGTCTTCGAGGAGGCGATGTTCGAGCAAAAAAAGATGTAAAAAACGACGTACGAAGTTCCTGAAATGAAACTTTTTAATTATTTACCATTGGTTTAAAGAAAAAATACAATGATGAAACGGCAATGTGTTGGTCACACTTTATTTTTTTCCTCTGAAGCAACTCCGTTACAACATAATCTAACTTATGTAAATTTGCTAGTGCTTGTTTAATTAACAAAAAAAAAGAAACAAACAAACAAACAAGCTGATGATATACCTTTCGTTTGTTAAACTTTATTTTTCATCAACTTTTACTTACGTACAATTCAATCACATTAACCTTAATATTCTCCTTCTTTGAGCACCTCAGGTACGACTTTCAAATACGTAGCTAGTGCCATGCGTTTCTTCAAGAACGCATCCAAAACGCAGCGCAGTACAATGGGCGGAAAAAAGTCATCTTGAGACGGCGCGCCCAAAAAAATGCGAGTCCATTCACCACAGCCAAAAAGTGGCGGAAAAGTCCAAAGAAAAAATTTATCGATTTCCAACGCACCTGAAATTAAATACGTGAGTCATTTGTGTTTTAACAGCAAACACGCTGATGCGACACTCAGTGTCACTAAATGTGCGCAGTTAAAAGAAATCATACTCACAACTCCGTGTTTTATTTTTGTTTTATTTCTTTTTTTGCCGTTATTACAACAAGTGTTTTAGAATATCCCTGCAAATTAAATCATTATTAGTACTTATAATTCATTACCTAAAGACTTAGCTTTCAAGTAAAAGAAAAAACCACACAGACAACACATTAGATGAAGTGCTTTTATTAAATTGAGTTTGCTGGTTACAGAAATTAAGTAGTCTATATATAGATGGGGTGCGCTTCTTAGAATTTGACGTCCGAGCAAGACCGAGGAGTGTGACATGCGTCCATAAAACCTTGACACCTCGAATGAAACACACCAGGGTCCCCGGACGGTACGCAGGGTTATTTAGCGGCTTGCTATGGAAACTTTGTCTATACCAAGCCTTCACAGTTTTTGAAGCCGAATACGGAATCAGATCAAAAGTCGAATCGAAACCGAAAAAAGACGAATAGACCGAACCGAAAATCTAATCGCCTAATATATAGAAAACAAATCCACATACCTTGTGCCACACTAGATTATTACTTGGGCTGATTGATGTGGTGCAAAGTTTACATAAGCTACGAACCTTACGAGGAAATTCAATGCACCGATTTTCCTATTTTTGACCGAACGAGTCAGCTTTGCGTAAAATTTGTACCAGCATAAATCGGCCCTACCTTATATGGGCTGCTGTAAACCGTCATGTTCCTCCACCAAAAGACCAAGAAGACTGGCATCCACAATCCAAAAAAAAGGCGTAGGTATTGGGAAAAAAAAGAAGAAGTCGTAAACGTCCATGATGAGGTGAAGTTGCCCAAAGGTGAAGTTCGGCCGGCCAATTAAATTTTAATAATAACATATTGGTGGCTGTCTCAACTAACATTGGACTTTGCGAGTTTAGAACCGCGGAACAAGGTATCAGCAAAGATGACAAAAATTCAAATAATTTCCGAATTACGGTAACTAAGAAATTTTATGAAAAATTGAAAAGGGTTGGGGGAGTGAATATGGGCCATTTATTACAGATATCAACGTTAGTTAAGACAGCTTATTAAAGTTATTGCCATATGCTGTCTCCTCTGTCTACCTTGCCTTCCTAATGATGAAGTCGTTTTCACTATGATGTCATCGGCTTCTGTTTGCAAAATAGCCAATTTACATTTTAGCGGGATTTTCTTCAGTTCAATTATGACCCTAAACCAACGATAAATAAAATAACTTTAGTAGAAGCGGAACGACGTCGTAGTGCAAACGATCATCATCATCATAGTCGTCGTCATCATCATCCCCATCATCATCATTATCATTGTCCGGTTTGGTCCTATGTGCTTCTTCTCAATTCATCGCCGCAAAGGCAGCTACCTCGCCTACTTAATAAACTGGACTATCTTTCTGTACATCTGGAGATTCTTTGTTCTTCTTTCTTCGGCCGGCCTCTTCCCTTGATGTAGCAATGGACCCACAATTCAATCACACACAATACGATCAAGCATACCATCAAAAACATTTTATTCACATTTACAAAAGCAGCTATTTCTTGTTACAAGATTCAGGGAAAAAAGTAAATAGACAGCGTGCTGCTTTAGGATTCACTACCAGTCATGAAGTACTTCAAGAGTTGTCGAGGGTAGAACACTGCAGGACACTTTCGGATGAAGGCAAAGAAACCAATAGCCACGAACGGTCGACGTGAAGACTACGTACGCCTACCATTTGTAGACGATCTGTGCCTGCGTAGTGCAATGCAGGACTTCCTAAGAAGAAAACTCTCCAGTAAGGCAAAATTAACGAAAAGACAAGCTAATTTGTCTTGATGTTAACGATGCCAAGCCAGAGTATCCTCTCCTGCTATTCCGGGGTTCTCTGAAAAATTATCTATTACCTGCGAGGTTTTCAGCTGAATGCCATTCAGGGGACACGCATATCAAGTTATGGTGGGCCTTCACATGTGTTTCCCCGAAATATTCGGCCTAGTAGCATTCTCGTAATCACTTCGCAGGCTACTAACGTTGCTAAATTCCGATCGGCTTGTTCGTGCTCCTCCAGCGATGAAACTGCGTCGTAGATTGGTCTCGAATACTTCCTACGCTTACCATTTGTAAACGATCTAGCCTGTGGTGTGTGGATTGTCCCATGTTGCCCTGGCAAGCTACAACAAGGTGTTGGCTCTTCGCGGGAAGAAATGCCTTATCGCAGATTACCTTCTTTGTAAGACTAAACCTGTCAACTGATCTACCCTCACAAGTTCGAAGTCTGAAAATCGACGCGCATCAAAAATGTTCGCTTCGCATTCGCACTGTTTAACATGAAAAGTCAAATTGGTATAGGTGGGTGCAGACTCGAATTTGCGAGACTAACCTGACTATCTACCTGTAACCAGAGAGACCATTAAGCCTGTAAGTGGAGGCCAAATGAGGTCCTCTCACTGCAGTAGCTGAATGGTCTTATGTCTCTAGTTTACTAAAGTTACTTCTTAAAATAATAACTGTCTGGTTGAACCTTGCGAGTGAATGCTTCACTTGCCCAGCGCAATGACTATCAAGTGAAGTGTAATGAATTAAATTTGGCGCAACTAAGCGGGAGACTGCAGTGACGACGACGACGACGAAAAAAGGCGATGAGTCCATCCGCAAAAGATGAAAAAACGCAGTCGAACCGTTTCCTAGAAGCCAAGCCGAATCCTAAAAGCCGAACTGAAGTCGCTGACCGAACACCTGCAAAGGAACCCAACTAATCAAAAAGGGCAGGGGAGGCCCTTACCAGCCCAGGGAGCCCCGCTAACTGATCTAACTACAGTTAATTTAAGCCGGAGATGATGTCCGAAAACTTCAGGCCGAACGTGTGTGGAAAGTATGCTTTGCAAGGTTCATCCAGAGCTCTATATACCCTCCTTGACCCAACCCACAAACAATGCACCTGACCTGTACCATTTCACGAGGTTGGGTGTGCTGTACTGATTTGAAGTGGAGCAGCCATGGATAGTAATCTGTGGGCTGATCTGATCTGGTGGTCTGGTCTGACGATAGTCTGATGCGAGAGTTGGTGCATGGTCTGATCTGTGGCCGGATCTGAGACTCATCTGATTGTCTGTTGTGGTGGTCTGATCTGGGGCGGATCTTATGGACTGTCGTTGTGGTCTGGTTCCATGGCCTAATCTGGAGGACTGACTGAGGAAGATGGTCTGCTCTGACGGCTGAAAATGAAAAATATGAGAAGCTAATACTAATGAGAAGGGTCTCAATAATTCAGAGAGCTACGTAAAGAGAAACGAAGAAAAAAATACGGAAATACTTCATTTTTCAAATTCAGTTGCAATTGAAAACTCTCATGCCCTGGAAAGGTTTGTAAAGACTCAATCAAAGTAATACGGAGCTGTGCTGACGATCTTTTCGAATCTTTTCCATTTGTACTAAGAATCGTAAATTGCAATGTTCATCACCATGGCAACATTCCAGGCTCGGCTGCAATATTTTCGCGCGGATATCGCGCGTGATGCAGTGACATCATACAATGTGGAAAAACCTAATGCAATAATTGTTTTAACATACATTGTTTTGACGAAAATAACGACAATCCCACCGTGGCAAGGAACCTGAATTGACGTTGTTAGTGGAAATCATACATTGCTTGCGCAACCTGCAGATTAGTCAGTTATCTGCTAGCAGATAACAAACTAATTTGTAGGTTGCGCTGATTTCAAAAATTAGCTGTAGGATCGTAGCCAAAAGAGAAGACAGGTAATGACTACAATGTCTAATAATCATCATAATCGACGCAATAGTTGTCAGACATTTACCAGCCCTCTACTCACTGACGGTGCCTTGTCAGACTGCCCCTAAATCTTGCTAGAAAAGAAACTTAGGACGACTTGCAAATTTAGTGAAACGTCAGACAGCAAAAAGGTTTAGCTAAGCACTTTTACTACTTTATTATTGCAGTCTTAGCATATGTTTAGTCCAGCTAATTCCATACAACACTTCTAAAATTTCCGCACGGTTTGGATCCCAGCCAAATTTCTTTAAGTCTATTCTTTGCAATTTAGAAGGAGAAAGATTGAACTTGCCTCTGTCGAGTTAACCAAGGCTCCTCCAAATAATTTCCAAGCCACTGACTGCAGACCTGACGAGGCCCAACATCTGAACTCTTCTGGATCTGTACAAAATAGATCTCAAGCACAAGATATTTAGCTTATCAAGAATATGTTTGTTACTCAGCAAGAGCCTATTATTGCTATTATTATTCTGTCAATGATCCGGTCCTTTTTAATCCTTGGATGTTCCTCCTTTACGTTTTTGTCTATCTACGTGGTAGCCAAACCGTTGTTTCAGATATGACCTCTTGGATTTGTTTTCCATTTAAACGTGACATTTTTTAATTATCTTTGTAGAGATTCTGATACGATGATTATAAGAGTGAAAGTCATGCCTTGAAATGATAATCAAAAGCTTCATTTCATTTCCTTTCAGAATACTTGGGTGAACATATTTTACCTTTCAAGTACTTACCTCGGACCTAGTAGCTAGGGTCACGTGCTAAAATCACAATGTCAATGGGCCGGCCACGACTGCGGGTTGGAAATAACTTCTGGAATTGCACTGACCTGAACAAAAAGCGTCTTCAAACAGATTATCAAAGCAACAGTTTTAACAGGGCAGTTGAAAATAAATTTTAAAGTATGCAGCTTCTCTCACATATCCTGGAGTTTGTACCTCATTAACCTTTCATCTCCATTTGCTTCCTGATAAAGCAAAAAAAAATTGTTCGTGGGTTGGAATCCCACTGGAAAATAGTATTTACCTATAAAGTTACGAATTTTGCTGCAGTAGGAGCACATTTTGTGGGTATGCTTGTTTAACTTCTTGAAGACGAAGGGTTTCCTATATTCTTGTACTTACGGGTTGCACATCACTACTGATGGACAATATCACTGCTGGACGTCTGCGACCTAAATGAAATATTTTTTACAAACAGAATCAATAAATAACATCAACACACTGGCTTTGTTGCACACTTGGAAACCAATCGCAGAATCCATTTCCCACTGTCAGCTATCATCAAACAGATTCGAATTCAGCCGAACATCATTTAGAATTCCAAGTCTTGAAAATTGCATTCTTTGGTACACTAGGAGCACCAGTAAATAAAGAAATCTCGTAGTTTTGAATCCTACTAGGGTGTGAACGAATAAGTTTTAGTATCATCCGGAGATAAGGGCACGTATCAGCACAATCAAATTTAAAGTACTCACCTTCCGTTTCACTCTTCCTTGCCTCTTGGACGCTGCTGTCGAACGCTAACTTCATGTACTAAATCTGAAACCCAAAGAGATAATCTAACAGGTAAAGCATAAACAGATCTGTTTTACCTTTAGAACTTTGACTTGTTTTCCAGTCGTAATCAGCATCGGCATGCGTTTCTTCAGGAACGCAGCCAAAAAAACTTCCAAGTGAGCTTCTAGAGAGCATACGTTACATGCATTTAGTTTGCTGTTGTCGGTCTTCAGAGGGCGCGCCCAAAAAGACGTCTTCGAGGAGGCGATGTTCGAGCAAAAAAAGATGTAAAAAACGATGTACGAAGTTCCTGAAATGAAACTTTTTAATTATTTACTACTGGTTTAAAGAAAAAATACAATGATGAAACGGCAATGTGTTGGTCACACTTTATTTTTTTCCTCAGAAGCAACTCCGTTACAACATAATCTAATTTATCTAAATTTGTTAGTGCTGGTTTAAATAACAAACAAAAAAACAGACAAGCTGACGAAATAACTTTCGTTTTTTAAACTTTATTTTTCATCAACTTTTAACCACGTACAATTCAATCACATTAACCTTAATATCAATGTTCCTGCCCTTCCTTCAGTACCTCACGTATACGTCTTCAAAATAAGTAGCTAGTGCCATGCGTTTCTTCAAGAACGCATCCAAAACGCAGTACAATGGTCAGAAAAAAGTCATCTTGAGAGGGCGCGCCCTAAAATGTGAGTCCATTCACCCCAGCCAAAAAGTGGCGGAGGAGTCCGAAAAAAAAATTATCGATTTCCAACGCACCTGAAATTAAATGAGTTAGTCATTTGTGTTTTAATAGCAAACACGCGAATGCGACACTCGGTGTCACTTAATGTGCGTAGTTAAAAGATATCACACTCACAACACAGTGTTTTATTTTTGTTTTATTCATTTGCCGTTATTACAACAATTATTTAATAATAAACCTGCAAATTAAATCATCATTAGTACTTAAAATTCATTACCTAAAGATTTAGCTTTCAAGTAAAAGAAAAACCACACAGACAACACATTAGATGAAGTGTTTTTATTAAATTGTGTTTGCTGATTACAGAAATTAATTAGTCTATATAGATGGGGTGCGCGTCTTAGAATTTGACGTCCGAGCAAGACCGAGGAGTGTGACATGCGTCCATAAAACCTTGACACCTCGAATGAAACACACCAGGGTCCCCCGAACGGTACGCAGGGATATTTGGCGGCCTGCTATGGAAACTTTGTCTATACCAAGCCTTCACAGTTTTTGAAGCCGAATGCGGAATCAGATCAAAAGTCGAATCGCAAACCGAGAAAAGACGAATGGACCGAACCGAAAATCTAATCGCCTAAAATATAAAAAAAAATTCCACATACCTTGTGCCACATTGGATTATTACTTGGGCTGATCGATGTGGTGCAAAGTTTACATAAGCTACGAACCTTAATTCTTACAAACGAAGCGTTACGAGGAAACTCAATAAGCCGATTTTCCTATTTTTGACCGAACGAGTCAGCTTTGCGCAAAATTTGTACCAGCATAAATCAGCCCTACCTTATATGGGCTGCTGTAAACTGTCATGTTTCTCCACCAAAAGACCAAGAAGACTGGCATCCACAATCCAAAAAAAAGAAGAAGTCGTAGAGGTGCATGATGAGGTGAAGTTGCCCAAAGGTGAAGTTCGGCCGGCCAATTAAATTTTAATTATAACATATTGGTGGCTGTCTCAACTAACATTAAACTATGCGAGTTTAACAACCGCGGAACAAGGTATCAGACATCAACAAATTCGAAAAGTGTTGGGGGGAGTGAATATGGGCCATTTATTACAGATATCAACGTTAGTTAAGACAGCTTATTTAAGTTATTGCTTTATGCTGTCTCCTCTCTCTTTACCTCGCCTTCCTAATGATGAAGTCGTTTTCACTATGATGTCATCGGCTTCTGTTTGCAAAATAGCCAACTTACATTTTACAGTGATTTTCTTCAGTTCAATTATGAACCTAAATCAACGGTAAATAAAATAACTTTAGTAGAAGCAGAACGACGTCTTAGTGCAAGCGATCATCATCATCATTGTCGTCGTCATCATCATCCCCGTCATCATCATCATTGTCTGGTTTGGTCCTATGCGTTTCTTCTCAACTCATCGCCGCAAAGGCAGCTACCTCGTCTACTTAATAAACTGGACTATCTTTCTGTACATCTGGAGATTCTTTGTTCTTCTTTCTTCGGCCGGCCTCTTTCCTTGATGTAGCAATGGAATTACAATTCAATCACACACAACACGATCAAGCATACGATCCAAAGCATTTTATTCACATTTACAAAAGCAACCATTTCTTGTTACAAGATTCAGGGAAAATCAGGGAATCGGATCAAAAGTCGAATCGAAAACCGAAAAGAGACGAATGGAAATCAGTGCTGCTTTAGGATTCACTCCCTGTCATGAAGTACTTCAAGAATTGTCGGGGGTAGAACACTGCAGGCCACTCTCGGATGAAGACTAGGAAACCAATAGCCACGAACGGTCGACGTGAAGACTACGTACGCCTACCATTTGTAGACGATCTGTGCCTGCGTAGTGCAATGCAGGACTTCCTAAGAAGAAAACTCTCCAGCAAGGAAAAATTAACAGAAAGACAAACTAAATTGTCTTAATGTTAATGATGCCACGCCAGAGTATCCTCTCCTGCTATTTCTGTGGCCTTTGAAAAACTATCTATAACCTGCGAGGTTTTCACCTGAATGCCATTCAGGAACACGCATATCAAGGTATGGTGGGCCTTCACATGTGTTTCCCCGAAATATTCGGCCTAGTAGCATTCTTGTAATCACTTTGCAGGCTACTAACGTTGCTAAATGCCAATCGGCTTGTTCGTGCTCCTCCAGTGATGAAACTGCGTCGTAGATTGGTCTCGAATACTTCCTACGCTTACCATTTGTAAACGATCTAGCCTGTGGTGTGTGGATTGTCCCATGTTGCCCTGGCAAACTGCAAAAAGGTGTTGGCTGTTCGCGGGAAGAAACGCCTGATCGCAGATTACCTTCTTTGTAAGACTAAACCTGTCAACTGATCTACCCTCACAAGTTCGAAGTCTGAAAAATCGACGCGCATCAAAAATGTTCGCTTTGCATTCGCACTGTTTAACATGAAAAGTCAAATTGGTATAGGTGGGGGCAGACTCGAATTTGCGAGACTAACCTGACTATCTACCTGTGACCAGAGAGACCACTGAGCCTGTAAGTGGAGGCCAAATGAGGTCCTCTCACTGCAGTAGCTGAATGGTCTTATGTCTCTAGTTTACTAAAGTTTCTTCTTAAAATAATAACTGTCTGGTTGAACCTTGCGAGTGAATGCTTCACTTGCCCAGCGCAATGACTATCAAGTGAAGTGTAATGAATTGAATTTGGCGCAACTAAGCGGGAGACTGCAGTGACGACGACGACGACGACGAAAAAAGGCGATGAGTCCATCCGCAAAAGATGAAAAAAACGCAGTCGAACCTTTTCCTAGAAACCGAGCCGAATCCTAAAAGCCGAACTTTAGTCGCTGACCGAACACCTGCAAAGGAACCCAACTAATCAAAAAGGGAAGGGGAGGCCCTTACCAGCCCAGGGCGCCCCGCTAACTGATCTAACTACAGTTAATTTAAGCCGGAAAAAATGTCCGAAAACTTCAGGCCGAACGTGTGTGGAAAGTATGCTTTGCAAGGTTCAACCAGAGCTCTATATACCCCCCTTCACCCAACCCACAAACAATGCACCTGACCTGTACCATTTCACGAGGTTGGGTGTGCTGTGCTGATTTGAAGTGGAGCAGCCATGGATGGTAGTCTGTGGGCTGATCTGATCTGGTGGTCTGGTCTGACGATGGTCTGATGTCGGAGTTGATGCATGGTCTGATCTGTGGCCGGATCTGAGACTCGTCTGATTGTCTATTGTGGTGGTATGATCTGGGGCGGACCTTATGGACTGCCGTTGTGGTCTGGTTCCATGGCCTAATCTGGAGGACTGACTGAGGAAGATGGTCTGCTCTGACGGCTGAAAATTAAAAACATGAGAAGCCGAGGTATCATTAGTGAAAAGGCTCTAAACGCTTCAGAGAGCTACGCAAAGAGAAATGAAGAAGAAATACGAAAATACTTTATTTTTCAAAATCAGTTGCAATTGAAAACTCTCATGCTCTGGAAAGGTTTGCAAAGACTCAATCAAACTAATACTGGGCTGTGCTGACGATCTTTTCGAATCTTTTCCATTTGTACTACGAATGTTCGTCACCATGGCAACATTCCAGGCTCGACTGCAATATTTTCACTTGAGAGATCACGCGTGATGCAGTGACATCATATTAGGTGAGAAAAAGTTTGATTGTAAATAATTGGTACAAACTGTTTTTACCATGGCAATTATGAGGAATTCTGGAAAAATATAATGAAAACTATCTGACTTTTGTGAAAACTGATCACCTGTGTACAACTTTATATGGCAAGTCAAAAGTCATTCTTGATCCCAATCTGTTTAATCGCAATTTGTCTAATTATAAGTGTATGTTAAAATCATTTTAAACTGCAAGTTGCATGTATGCATATCTTGTTTCTTAAATTCACTCATTTAACCACGGTTAGTTTTTTACACGACCCTGTTTGAAAGTAAGGGCAATCTCATTCAACGTAATTATAAGACAGCAAACCTGTTTAGTAGTTGCACACGAGGAAGCTAAAACTCAAGTAGGGAGTTTATAAAAAAGAGTTGTTCAAAATTGCCCAACTTAAAACGTTGACAACCAAAAGTACCAACTGATGAAGTCACATTTTCCCATCTTCACGGAATTAAGTTTACTGTGTAAGGTACTTTTCCTTAATTCTGTAAAGTATAAATATTTGTTCAAATTCTTGGAAAAACGCTTTTATTCAGGGGCACCCAACGATGGTTTCCTCCCAATGCATTGAAAACACTTTTTTAGATTATCCAGAGTACTTTTAGACCTATACAAATGCATTCCAAGCAGCGCTATACAATTTGTATTTGTTTGGTCATCCTGGGAGAACTTAAGCCTTTTCGAAATTTCAGGGGCTTCAGTATATTATTGTCCCGCAAATTATAGCTGCAATTTTATTTTATCATTTTTTTTTATCCTCTCTCCATCACAGTTTTGAATCTGAATTTTTCAAGTTTCCTTTTTCCTACGATTAAATAGTCTAGCCTTGGGTGTGAAATGTGAAAAATTAAACTTCAGAAAATCGTATGGAATTTTGTTAGATAAGGTTTGAAAATTCATAAATGGAACGATCATCCATACAAATTTTTGCTGTCCTCAAGTAATAGAAAATTATAGGCAATATTTACTTCCTGGACAGATATTTTACAGAAAACAGTCGTCGGGTGCTTCTGTTTATTTGTCTGTATATCATTTAAAGCAGGAACGATGGTCTTATTTTGCCGGTGAGGTTCGGTTAAACTTCATCAAAATCTCGCTGTGCTGCTGCCGAGTATACCGGGTAAAGAAAACGTATTAAATTTGTTGTTGTTGTTTTTTTTTTTATGGCGAATTACTGTCTGTGCCACCAATATGAAATTGCACGAATAGCAGAATATGATTTGCTAGGTTACTTTCTTTATCAAAGACTCCACTGAGCATAGCTTGTATTTTAGACGGCCACGTGTTCGACATGTAAGAACTACACAGGGCTTTCAAAATAATAATAAAAAACTAATAAATTTTACTGAGTGAGCATTTGGCTTCGTTTCTACTCGCTATTTTTCCTTTGAGAACAAATTAGTTTAAAACAAGAACATTCGACAACGAAAATAACTCGGTTAATTATAAGTTGGACTTGTCAGATCACAAATTTCAACCGTACTGACGATAAATTTAACAAGTATAATTTACCTCGTCGGCTGCCTCGTGCGCTTGTTTTATCATCCCAGACTGCTTCGTTCGTAGTTAGCTTTCTTTGTGCAGTTGAGAAAGACGGCTAGGCAGTTTAAACGAGAGCGTCTTGTTTCTTCTTCGTGAGCAACCGTCGCTAACTCTCACAATTGAAGTTGCCAATTTTTGAATATGGCGAGGAGCAATGTTTTGATTTGAATAATACTTGCATTTTCTTAATGCACGTGTCTATGCAGCAAACCAACAAGGGTTGTTTGCCACACACACCATATGGGACTTGTAACTAAAGGCTAATTAACATTTCAAATAAATTCTTTAAAAAGGTCTTGGGAGAGTAAAACATTTTAAAGGCGGAAAAATCGGTTAATTTTTTGGGTCGGAAAGCAAAAACTTGCAAAGTCGTGACATTTGCTCCTGTGTCGTCTACATTGTAAACGAAACTTGACAAATGTACGTCACAGTTGCTTGGCAAAATAATTGCAAAGATTTCCCATTTTAATACAGGAGTTTGCGGTCTTTTGATGCAGCTCAACGTAAAACTTTATCCGGCAAGGTTTAAATCATTATAAATATAAGAAATCTCAAAGGCGAAAGCGTTGTCAAACAACAGTTGAACAGCGACAACATTAAGCTTACCAGAGCAGGACGGTCTCAGTTCGTTCCGTTTAAACTTTCTTTTCTCCGTATATATGACATGAAACTTTTCACTTTTAACGTGGCATGTGCCTCACATTTTTAGCGCCAAACAAGCCGCTAATTGTTGGATTAAAGATTCGATAGGTGTTCTACCGCCTGTTATCGGAATCCGTCGTTGTTTGTTGTGGCCCATCCTCGGAGACCCAGGGGCGGTCAGTCGGCCCGGGAGAAATAGCGCGACAAAAGTTTTCAAGTACAGGCGGAAAAGCCCCTGGGTACCGACCCTCACCGGACCATTTCCAAACGGTCAAGCGAATGCTGGCTCCTGATTGGGCACAAAAAATGCTTTGTATTATTGTGCCCAATTGGCGAACAGCATCTCCTGAGTTCTTTTCGTGAGTTCGTACACGACGGCTATTATTTCGCCACAGTTGCCCGGTTCGTTCACCAAGCTTTCCTATGACCAGAAACAAAGGAACTACCGATGAGTCGAAAACGTTTCGGATGCTTTCAGCAGGAGCCGATTTGCACTGAGAAAATTCTGTTTCTGACGGATCACAATGTATCGTAAATATTAGGAAGTTCAAGATGGAGCGGCGACGAGAAAGTAAAAAAAGCAATAGCTTGACAAGGCAACACAACAACTTTGCACGTGCATCACCCTTTTTGCATATATTTCTTTGCCGTCACTGCACGACTACCACGTGAAAATGCCTAATTTCACACGTTTTGTGAAGGACGTAAACAAGCAATGACAAAATTTTCTTTCTCTTTATGAACTTGGATATGGTTGATAGAAATTTAATTCCAGAAGATTTCGCTTGCATTTGACAAAGTAAGTGAGTTGGAATAGTCTAATC